CCAGGACGGATCAAGTGCAGCCTTTGCAGTGATATTAGTATACTCAAGGTCATTTTCTAGAAGGGTTCTGGGAGGCAGAGCTACAGGCCTTCAGACAAAGACAACAATCGCCACCTGAGGGTGTGACAACTCCCCTTCTGCCAAGTGTGTGTCACCTAGAGCTGCTGGTACAGTCAGGGGGACCAACAGTGGCCTCCCCTTGTAGGGCCTGTCCAAGGCTTATTAGCAAGCCATTCGCTCTATGACGAAATTCTAGCTTAGGTCAGATTCTACTCTAAACCAAGTCATTTGTTGACCTGGACTCAACCCATATGTAAATGTCCCCAGAGGTGGAGCCCCCAGCACCCCTACCTTTATTTGGGGGATTCCCTGGAAATGAGGCTCCCAGGTCCTCTCCAGAAAGCAAGTTCAGATGGAGGTTAAGAAAGGGGTAGCAGAGAGAACTAGAACCTGAGTGCAAGAAGACACATTTGCCAATTTCATAATTCTGCATAATGGTCCCTATCTTTCTTTTTAAACTGTGCTTGTATGGTTTATTTTAGAAATGCTTTTGTGCTATCATACAACTGTAGGGGGAGAGGCACTCATATTTTACATTTAAAACCTAAGAAGCACAATTTCCACCTTTCATTTTAGAGGAGGAAAACATTCACCTTAAGGTTCACTGCTGGATCATGAACTTGCTCAAGGAGTCTGTTAATATAGTTTGGGATGGTGGGAAATAAACAAATAATCATTTACAATTATTACTTGGGCACATTTTCTTTTTCTATGAACATATCTGTATTCAACTTATCATTCGGTTAATTCATAGTCTAGTCCCTAAATCCCTTAGGGCCAAATTGAAAGGTCCAAAAACCTCCTACTTTGACTAAACAGCTCCAGGGACCAACACCTTCGTTAGCAATGAAAAGCAGAAGGTAGGCCCTAGAGCAAGAATTTGAAAGTCTGAGGATGTGGCTGTGTATCAGCCCCTTAAATTCTATGACAAATGGTACACGTATGTCATTTTTGGTTGTTTTTTTTTTTTCTTTCCAAGTTTGTCCAAGGTCTTCCTCAGCTCCCCAAAGGATTCCAAGAGAAATCCCCCAAGAAACAGCATCAGTAAGGATCTCCTAGCCGCTGGAGAGCTTTCAAGTGCATCTACAATTGAAGATGGAACACTGTATGTCAAGAGGGAAAATTCAGAAGGCCTGCATCCTAGGGCTACCCACCCCTGCCACTAACCAGTTTTTTAACCTTAAGCAAGTCCCTCAAACATTCTATCCCTCCGTTTCCACATCTGTAAAATGAAGATCCTGGAAGCTGGATGATCACTTAGCTTCAGGACTCTTAAAAATACCAAGATTGTGAGGCAGAGTTTCAGCAAACACAGGAAAAGACATCAAAAAGGCCTGCACAAAATCCTGCCTGTTCCCAAAAGAGCTGCTTAAAATACTCACCACTGCCTTCCTTGGAGGGGTCAAAGATAGAAGCCACCTCTCATTTCCTTTTTTTCTTCTACTTCAGAAAGCCAAATTTGAAGCTTTGCAATAATGCCCCTTGAAGGGATTTGAACTATGAAGTTCATGCAAAAAAAAAAATATAGTAGCTCTGTAAGGATGCATAAGAAGCTCAAAGGAGTCAAACAGAATTTCTCTAAAGCCTCATTCCAAATCATGTTATCACTGCAGCACCTTATTTTAGCCAGTCTCACCTACACCTGTTAATATGTGCAACTGATGAAAATTAATTATGGGTGCCATGAAAATGGATGTTTTAATATAATCCTGGAAGTCTGGCTCAAAACTATTGCTGTTACAAGAGAAAAGTATTTCCCCTCACACCGTGCAGCTCTTTTATACTTTCAGTAATAAATGTCTGATTTTCACAAAAGTGCAGGTGAGATGGAAGTCCTCAACCACTTAGCACGACTTCCTCATCATCACATAAGGCTAAATTTCACTAAGGGCAACTGTTTTTTTTGTTTTTTTTTTCTGTTGGTACACCTGTGTATATTCTGTAGGACCCTAACTAGGCTGTGGTACCATAAATCATCAACCTACTTATCAGACCTCGTAAGTCCAAAGCAAACTTACATTGTGGGCTGCTGGTGGCAGAAAATTAAACTGAAGGCTTTTCATAGGCACCTGCTAATGAAGAGAAGTGGATGAAAACTGACCGTGTTTTTACAAGCCATTACCAAATGGATGCGTACAGCGCCCCTAAAGGACTCGAAAACCCATTCCACAAAAGGATAAACTAACATCTGAGGTAACAAATCAAAAGTCTCACGATGAGCAAAGTATGACAAGTCAGACTTACATGACCTGAACAGACCTAACTTCAATAGCACTTCCTTCTCTAAGACCCTGAAGAGAGAGATTAGCACCAGACTGGAGTTCTGCATCTCACATACTCGAGACTCACTTCCAGAACACAGCAAACAGGGTGGAAAGGAGTTGTTGGTTCTGAACAGAGCACGCAGTTGCTCGCTACGCATGAGCATTGTCACTGTGTTTCCAGGCTCAGTCTTCATCTTCACGTGCTTCAAAGTCAACAGTAAAAGGCAATCATGTTTGCAAGTACCCTTTCTCAATGATCACAGGTTCTGATAACTCAAGGAGAGGAATGAGTTAGAACTCCAGGTAGACCAGGCTAATGAACATGAACGTTCTACAGCACCATCCCATCCCACTGAACAAGGTTAGAGCTGGGAAGTGTGCAAAAGGGGAACATGAAAAGCATCCAGAAGTGACTCTGCTGGAGAAATCCCTGCTCGGGAGAAAGCGCAAACTTGGCTTTCCTAACTAAATGCCGCTTTCCAGATGAGACCCAATCCGGAGGGCTGGACCCCTTGTGGTCTTTAAACCCAAAACAAGAGCATGGGTGTCAGATTTCCTGGCCCAATCCCAAAGAGGTCAAAAATTAGTTAGATTTAATTGGCAAAAATTAGAGGTTCTACGAAACCAGCCCCTCCTTCCTTCATTGCCAAGCTCTAGGAAAAGCTTCAGCAGGGAATGTGGAGATAAAATATTTATTTGGGGAATAAGAGGGTAAAAAAAGATGACTGTCTTATGGGATCGAGGGTGTTTCCCGAATAAATGTATCATTCAGATTTCCTAAGCTGAGAACTCAGCTCCAGCTCCTTTTAGAAGAATGAGGACCACCGCGATCCTTCCACAAAATTCGGTGAGACTGCTTTAGAAGACACCAAAAGGTTAGACTTCATCTGGAGTTACTCCAGCATAAACCAGACAAAGGAATTCCTGAAAGGCTATAAGCATTTTTTCTTACAAGCACCCACAGGAACAGGTCAATGTAAATGTCGTGTAAACAAAGCAGTTTATTACTAAACCTTAGTTTGTTTCTCTTGTGAGAAAATTTTAATCCATTGCAACTGCACCCAACATTCACACGTAACTACCCCGAAGAAGCGTAACATATGGATTCATAATTGACCCTAGCCTCGGGTTTTCTTATGCTTGGAAGGCAAGGGGTGTTGGGGGTTGGGGAATCCGAGGGTTTGATACTTTCTCCTTCGGTGTCTGTGATCCAGTATAGGAGGACTTTAATTTCCCTTCCAATCACTCCTACAGAGGCCCGAGTGTCTGAGGAAATCCACAGACAACAATCAAACCTTTCATTTCAGGGTTGCCTTCCCACTATAGCCCTTCCTGTGCCAATCAGGTTTGCGAAGCGTTTCCCCTATTCTGCATTTCATGAATCAATTGCAAAATGTGCCAACCTCTGCCAGTTCCTCTTGTACTCAGCTGAGAGGTTCCCCCTTCCCTCCCTGGGTAGCACAAGGCTGCTCTGGTTTTTAACTGGCGTAACGTGGAAATGCACTGTAGGAGCTCACTAACTCTTTCACAGCCAGCTACAAGTGAGAATCTGGGGCTCCGACCCCATCTACTCGGAAACTGACCCGCCAAGCTCAGGTTAAAGCAGATTTGTAGAAACTAGCTTTGACCCCAAATCCTGTGTGTCAGTGACTGTCACCGGAGGGAAAAGGAAGAGAAAGAAAGGCTACAAAGTATCCGACTCAGTTACTTAGCAACTGGACAAAACTAGCCTCACTACAGAGGGTAAGGAGGCATCTCACGCCCATTCAAAGAGTAACAGTCTCCGATTGACATGCAAATAATAAAGACAAAAGGGAAAGGGAAATCTAAATTAGCAACTGGAGTTTACAGCAAGTAGGGCTGGGGCCCAGATTTTAAAAACAGCTTCTCCCTAGGAAGGAGATAGGATACAAACATACAAACACATATACATGAATGAATGAATGGGTGAATGAATGAATGGGTGAATGAATGAATGGGTGAATGAGTGAGTGAGTGAGTGAGTGAATGAATGAATGAATGAATGGAAGAAAGATCACAGGCCCGGATCAGCTTAAGGTCTCCCTTCGCAAAAGTCAATGCCATGGAAGGTAGGGAGAAGCCAGGCACAGAAAGTTCAGTAGCGTAAATTAAAACACTTCCACCACTAACGTAAATTTAAGGTGTACAGAAATCTGACAACTGGAGGCTGCGAAATTCCCGGGAAAGCAGTACCCCTGCTCGTGAGAAAAGCAAATAAAGCATCAATCTTGGAGGGGGGTGGGGAGGTCTCCAGACTGTGGGTGGATTCAGAGCCTCTTCGGGGTCCCTAGACCTCCTCACAGACACCCTCCCTCACCCACTGGTGAAGCACGGTTTCCAAACTTGGCTCAAACCCACGCCTTTCACGGAAGACACATGGCCCTGAAGGATTTCCAAGCCAGAGGGAGACACGGTCGCCTACTTGGCCCAGGAAAGTGCTCCGGGCTTCTCCGTTTGCCCAAGGAGCTCAAGCTCTCCGTCCCCAGCTCCTAGCCACGGGCCTGAACCAGGCTGCTCGGTCCCAGGCTCCCTCCAAGCCGGAGGGGAAGAGGCCAGAGGGCCCCTCTGCCCCACCCCATCCCCCAACCTCACACCTGGCTGAGGTGGGCAGGGCCCCTGGCGGACCGGCAGAGGCCTGACAGCCGAGCCACTTACTTCTCATACTCGGTGTTGTCTCTGTCACAGCGAGAATCCTTGTGCTTTTGCCAGTCTTTGCCGTGCTTGCAGGTGGTGAGGAGCACCACGTCCTCTCCGTTATGGACGTGATATAAGGCATTCCTGGTGTCCGACCCTATCCCTGTCAGGTACCTCTTCCCCTTGAATACCAGCATATACTTCCTGAGAGGAGGGATGGTGTTAAACTTCAAAAACCCCCTCTCCCCTCCTGTCCTCGGATGATCCTTAGAAAAGAGGGGAATGGAAACATCAAAGTTGGGTCGGAAGTTTTCAGTACTGATGCTGGCTTTGGCCAGCATCGCCTGGCCGATGTCAAACCCCACGTCCTCGGTGTAGTCAGGCCAAGTGCCGGAATATAAATTAAAAATTAAATGGTTCCTACCATTGTTCCACAAGTGGAGACTCTGCACTTTGGATCTCAAATTGTGCACATACTGAGGTGACAACTGGTCTCTGTCTAAAGTATCCAGACTCAAGACAAAGAGGCACGCCTGGCTGGGGTCCGAGGTGTAGAACCTGGAGCCCTCGATGGCCGCTAGAATGTTTTGGTAACTTTCGGCGATTTTCTCCCCTTTTTGCTGCGGGTACACGTAGACTTTGAAGCCGTTTTTCTTGCAAAGGGTGAAATCGAAGCAGGACTCCATGCGGCACTTCTTGCCTTTGTAGATGCTCGAGTTGGCGTCTCGCTTCTGCCGGGGGGATATGTGCACGCTGGAATCCTCGTTTTCCAATTGATCCCAAGGAACGAAGGGGCGCAGAGCGTCCGGGAAGCGGGGCCAGAAATGATCCGGACTCGGGTGGTGCAAGCCATTCCGACCGCTGTGCTCTTCTCTCCGGCTGTGGCTCCTTGATGCCCTAAACTGCAAGCCTCCGAAATAAAACAAAAGGGCGAGACAAGAGCCAGCTGAGAGCAGAATGAAATAGCGTTTTTTGGCCTGCATGTGTCCTGCCTGGGTCAAGAGGGTTGTAAATAAACACGAGGATCACCCAAGTTTCCCAATCAACACTTTCAGCTCCAGTCCGCCATCTTCCCGCCTGTAAAGACTTCAAACTCTCCGCTCCCACCTTCTCTGGATGCCTTTCCCCAAGCCGTGGACTGATCCAGCGCATGTGGGCGATTTCTTTAACTTTCTCCCCTTCGGTCTTTCATCTTTGGCTTGCACAATGGACGGGAGAAAGCGGGGCTGAATATTTCTCACCCAGGGCGGGCGAGCAGCGGACTGTAATTTTCTTGCATGCAACAAGACGGAGGAAAAGAAAGAGAGGGGGGAAAAAAAAGCTCCCGATGCCCAATCAATGGCAAGGCGAAGTGATTTCCTTGCCTCTCGGATTCCTCTCGGCAGCGTGGAAAACGAGCCCCGGGAAAGCAACTTCAACTCATCCACACTCCCGTGCAGAGCACTCCGGTTCCAACAAGTCAGCCGATCCCCGGGTTCAGCCGGCTAGTGCATCTTGCAGCTGGGGCGCCGTAACCTCACAAATCCCTGCATCTCTCTTTATTCCCTTCTGCAGCGGCTCCAAGACTCCGGCGGTGTTTACTCCTGCGCTCGCGGGGCCGGCCCCCGGGACGCGCGGCGGCCCGGCTGGAGGCGGCGGCGGCGGCGCTGGGTGACGGCGGCGGCGCGTCCTCCCCGCGGGCAGTGCCGGCCCCGAGCGGCGCTTCGCAGGCCCCCGCGCGATCGCCGCCGACCGCCGCGTTCGGTCGCCGAATGTTACCCGGTTCTGAATGTTACACTTACACATTCCATTCCCGACACGACAGCGCTGACCTCATCCATCCACGCAGCCCGCGCTGCCATTGGCCGAGCGTCACGTCCGGGGGGGCGGTGCTTCCGCTGCGCCCATTCATAACCCCCGGCCGCCTGTCGAGGCGCCGGCGCGGCGCGGGGGCGCGGGGGGCGCGGGGACCCCGGGGCGCCTGGGCTGCGGTCGGCGGGCGGAGCGCGGGGCGGCCCCGTGCGAGCCCCGCGGCCCAGAGGCTCGGCCGGACCGGGACCCGGATCCGGGCCTGGGCCGCACCGCCTACCGTCGCTGCGCCGGGAGCCAGCGCCGCCCAGAGGCGCCCGCGGGAGCAGGGACCGGCCGGCGCTCCCAGGGCACCCCCGAGAATCCGGTCTCCTCGGCTGCCTGCCGGGAACGCCTCCCCGAGCAGGCGGCAGGGAGTGTGCGGGCTCCTGGGGAAAGATGCTCGAGAATGGAGCGGTGTGGCGAGCCCGAGGGGTGGGGGAGAAAAGACTTCACAGAAGGCCACCGCCGACCAGAAGGAAGCCTCTCCCCGCCCACCTTCGACCCTCTAAGGACCAGTATTTTAATTTCCTACCAAGCGTTTAAACAGGTCCTTTATTCCCTACAAAGCCCAGCTTTGCTTTTTCTGCCCCCAAGGACACGCCCAATCCCCCCCAATAAAGAGGAAATATTACAATCAAGAGGAATCGTTGCAATTCTTCGTGTCTCTGTGCTGACAGAAGACATCTATTCTAAATCCTCATTATCTACGTGCACATCCTTTCCTCGCTTCCTGAAGTCCCTTCGTCTATTCTGTAGAAAGCTTCCAAGAGATCCAATCACCGCGGGGGGGGTGTGGGGGGGAGGTTTTCTAATGACTGGAGAGAAACAGGTTAATTTAAGCTGGTCCCAGTCCCTAAAGTGATGTTCTCTTTTTGTAGTGGTGGGGTGGTGGTTTCTAAGGAGATGTCTCTTAGGAATGGAAGACTGGTAGAACTGCCAACTGTCCCAGCTGTAGAAGGGAAACTTGAGGCAGGAAATGACCTTATTTCCAGTCAGTGCTAGATGGTTGGTCCTTCTGGCAACTGCCCTCCCACGCTGCAGCCCCAAGCGCCAGCTACCCCCAGGGAACTTCACTAGACAGCTCCAGTAAAGACCTGCAGTCTCCCTAAAGGTGTCCTCCAGGCCCACAGAGATGTGCCAGCTCCCAAACAACATTTCTGGTCGAAGTCCAGCTCCCCGGCCTCAGAGCCTGAATTTTGCTTTACAGAGAACATCTCCCACCCTCTTCCCTAGCTGAAGTCCACAGAGTCTGGCCAGGCCGGACAAACAGTTGCCTAGGGCTGCAAGCTGTTTAGTGATTGTTTATTATGGGAGTGACTGAGAGCTAGGGACAGACACTTCCCGGCTTCCCTCAGGCTGCAAAAAACTCCAGCAGGGCGTGGACGAAGGGCATGGTTATAACAAGGCAGGGGGAAATGATCCAGTGGAAAATTTTAGACATTTGTTGTTTCAGATCTGTTTTAATAAAGGGGGGAAGGGGTATGGGTGGGACATTACTGTACATTCCTGAAGCCTCTCCCTATTTCTGAACTGCCAAAGATGAGGTAGCTTTTCCAGATTTGATTTGTACCCCCTGCACAATTTGGAGAGGCCTGGGACAGAAATGAGGTTTCAGTCATCTTCCAAATATGATGACAATGATGCAGATAAATGCAGTGATTGAAACCACATGTGACCCTGGGCTCTCCCCAGCCTGGGGTTGCTGAGAGCAGCCATCCAAGGCAGGGATTCTTCTGTTGAGATCAGATTATCTGGGTCCTATGGGAAGTTGGGCATGTGGGGATGTTAGGCCCTCTACATCCTATCAGTTGTCCTGTGTGACCTTAGGGGGAGCCAGCTACCATACTTATTCTTTCGCATTCTCTTCCTGCGTTGGCACATGCTTCTTGCCTTGCCTAACCATTGCTCATTCATTCCCTCATCCTATGTCCCAGGGTTACCCGGCCCTACTGTCCGTTTCATAGCGGTGCACACTGTGAGAAATGTTTTGGTACTGAAAATTAGAGAACACTTGGACTCAGATCCCAAACTCAGATCCCACATGCCTTGGGCATGTGGCCTAATCTCACTGAACCTCAGCTTCTCATTTAAAAAGTCAGAATAATTAACACTTTTTTGTTTTTTGCCAGCCTCTTTGAATTTGTAAACTGTAAATTGTCCCACATGTGTAAGATTTTTTTGCCTAAGTTCCACATTTCAAAATCCAACGGAAATCTAAAGTAGCCCCTACAACGGCATCATCATGACATCTCCCTCTGTTTTATTTTCTTCCTAGCCCTTTATACTAGCTGAAATCTTTTATTTGTTCACTTGTTTACTGTCTGTATTTCTTCACTGTAGAGGGTCCCTGAGAGCAGGGGCCCTGTCCGTCTCACTCTTGAACCCCCAAAGCCTAGGGTAGCTCCTGGCACTTAGGTGGAGCTCAACCACTGATCTGAATGACGAATGAATTACTAAAATTCAACTTTACCACAGCACTTGAGCATGCTTGAAAAGAACCCCCCCACACACCCCCACAGCAGGACTGAGTCTCTTGTTCAAGGTAGAAATATTACTAACCAGGAATATCTTAACAGAGGGCCAATCAAAGCGTCATAAATCCTCCAAGACTGTATATCAGATCGTGTAATGTTTATAGTAAAAGTCCTTAAGGCATCCCCGTCTCTCAGAATAAGAACCAAAGCCCTCACAATGACCTGTAAGATCCTTCAGGATCTTCCCTGTCTTCCTTCTCCTTCCTGGATACCTCTCACCTCATTTCCTGCCAATAACTCTCCCTCCATTCCAATCTACTCTTTCTCCCCCAGGCAGGTTGGTTTCCATACTATTTCTCGTATGTACCAAACATGTCGCCGCCTGTACCAAACATGTCGCCGCCTCAAGGCCTTTGCACAGCCTCATCTCTGCCAGCATGCCCCCAGTATCCACAGGACACACCCCCTCACTTCTTTTAAGTCTCTTTTCATATGCCGTTACTTATGCTGAGGCCACCTTTGACCTCCCTAAATAAAACAGTAATCCCTCCCCCATTTTCCCACCCCCTCACCCTGCTTTATTTTTTTTCCTTAACAGTAATCAACATCCACCATACTATATATCGATTGCTAATTTATCATTTATCTGTTGTAAATGAGCTGCATGAGGCAAGGATGTGGTCTTTTTGTTATCTGTTATATCCCCAGCACCCACAACAGTGCCCATCGCTATATAAGTATGTGTTGAACTAATTAATTAATTTGATCCCATTGCCTATAGGGCAAATAGAGAATGTTCAAGGCTAGAATTCTATTATCACACACACACACACGGACGAGTGCACGTGTACGCACACACACCTCCAAAGCTATCCCAGTGCTCAAGTCTTGCTTAATCTCCTTTTCCAAGAATAATTCTTTCCCACAGCCGACTACAGATCTGAAAATAGAATGGCACCCAAGAAATCCAGGAGATGTGGATTCTCATCTTGGCTTTGCCACTTGCTCTATAACCTTGAACGAGTCCCTACACTTCCCTAAGCTTTGGATTCTCCTTGGTAAAATCAGGAGTAACTGTAATATATATCATGCTCAATTCACTGGACCACTGTGAGAATCAAATGAGGACAAATGGATAATGTATGAGAAAGCCCTTTGCAGTCCACAATGCACATAGCAAATGTGGGGTCTGGTCATCACACTCTTGGACAAATATGGATACAAGATCATGTTTGCAAGTTGACAGCATTAAATAACATGAACTATCACCCACCAAACTGGAAATAACCGTTTCCAGATGCTTTATAGACTCTGGAATGGTCACTGACTGTTGTAAGCAAACAGGAAAAGGGAAGAAGGAAAACCCACCAATGGACAAAAAGCAAAGAAGACTTTTTTTTTAGTATATAAAGCACCAAAGACACAAATGCTTTTCAAGGGCCTATAATTATATTTGCTATCAGAGAATATCATTGACTCCAAAATGGGAAAACAGACTAAAATATTGAAATTAATACATGTTTAAATTCTCTTAAATGTAACTTTAGGCAATCCAATCTTCATAAAGTCATACACTATTTTTTTTTTTCATTTGATGTCGGCACATTTTCATGTTTTGGTGATGTGCGATGGGGTCTCTGATAGTAAGTATTCCTGGCTCCTAAAAAGGCTGGAAACCCTGTTGGGTATATGCTCATTGGTTGCAGAAGGTGAGAAAAGACAAGGAGGACAAAAAGATTTGGGGCATCATGGAGGAGTGGAGAGATTCCCAACCAGGAAACAGGTGCCGGAACTTGGGGAAACCTGAAGCATACTGTTTCTGATTACCAGGCTTTGAGGGTTCCATCTGGAAAACACAGGGTAAGACTTTGTGATACCTTTCCACCGGAAACAGTCAGAGATGCCCCGTATAGACCAATGCACAGTGTCTCTGCGATCCTCACAAGGTCCCCAGCACACATAGTACTATCCTTTTCCTTAGTCACAAATGAGAAAACAAAAGCTCAATCTTGGGAAGGGACTCCTGGCAATTCATTCATTCATTCATTGAACAAATATTTTTTGAGCATCTATTCTGCATAAGGCATGGTGCCAGACACTGAAGGTATTTGTCTATAGTCCTTTGTCATTTATAAAACGCTTTCATGAGAAGAATTTTCCTCGAGCATCATGAGCACCCCATGGATTAGAAAGAGAATATGATCTCGGTTTTACTAATGAGAAAAGAACTACATAAGGCTCTAGTTCAGTCTTCCTTAGCCTGGGCACGGCTGACACTGTGCTCAGCATAATTCTTCGTTGCATGGGGCTGGCCTGTGCACTGTAGGATGTTTAGCCACATCCCTGGCTTCTACCCATCAGGTGCCACAGCACGCCCCACTCCCACCTGCATCTCCAGTTGACACCAAAAACATCTCTAGACATTGCTAAATGCCCATAGGAGGCAAGATCACCTAA